TGAACTTGACAAGAGGTTTGAAGAGTTTCAAACCAAAATGCAACAAAATATACAAGCATCAATTCATACGGCTTTACAAGCCGTTATTGGAGGGGCTCAACAAGTGGCAAATGTGGAGAGTGTCCCTAATACGGAAGGTAACTCCTCTCAACATCTTGAGGATGTTAACTACATGAATTCCTATGGTAACCGGGCAAATCAAGGTGGAAATAATTTTTCCAACATCAACCAACAAAGGTACAACCAAGGAAACAATTATAGGGCACAAGGGAGTTCTTCAAACCTTCAACCCGGAGCCCCCAAATTTGGGCAATCGCAAGAGTCTACTATGGAGGAGATGATGAAGCTTCTCACAAAAAATGTTGCTAGCATCAAAACTCAAAATGAAGAAAATCATAGTAGAATGGAGGCATCCATTGGGAATCTCCACAATCAATTCACTAAACTTGACATGCGTTTTGAAGATCAAAACCGGAAGCTAAATCAACGCATGGACAATATTGAACAATATACCAAGTCCTCTATTCATAACTTGGAGGTTCAAATTGGCCAACTTGCTCAAGAAAGGACAACTAGGGAGCATGGTAGATTTCCTACTACAACGGAAGTCAACCCGAGGGAGAATGTTATGGCTATCACTTTGAGAAGTGGTAAACAAATGGAAGGGCCAACAATTGAAGAAGAGCCCATTGAAAAACAAAGCGAAGAAGAGCATATTTCACCACCATCCATGACGGCTTATGTTCCACCAATTCCTTACCCACAAAGGATGAAGAAGAAAGATGATGGAAAGCAATACAAAAAGTTCCTAGACATCTTCACCAAATTGAGCATCAACATCCCCTTTGCCGAGGCCATTGCCGAAATTCCTTCTTATGCAAAATTTTTGAAGAATATTCTTAGCAACAAAAAGAAGTTGGCGGATTTTGCTACCGTAGCACTCACGGAGGAATGTAGTGCTATTCTTCAAAACAAATTACCTCAAAAATTGAAGGATCCCGGGAGCTTTACCGTTCCTTGTTCTATTGGAAGCTTAGGGGAGGTAAAATCCCTTTGTGATCTTGGAGCTAGCATTAACCTTATGCCACATTCTCTATTCAAGAAATTTGGTGTGGGGGAACTTCAACCTACAACTATAGCTCTCCAATTGGCGGATAGAACCATCCGATATCCTATTGGGGTAATGGAAGATGTTCTTGTGAAGGTTGGAAAATTTTATTTTCCGGTGGATTTTCTCATTCTAGAGATGGAGGAAATGGAAATTCCGGTGATCCTTGGAAGATCTTTCTTGGCCACGGCTGCCGCTCTTATTGATGTGAAGAATGGAATTGTGAAATTCCGTGTTGGGGAGGAGGAGCAAGAATTCCATGTTTGGGATTCCTTGAAGAAACACCATGATGATTCTACATGTTTTAGTATCAATATTTTTGATACTTTGACACAAGAAGTTTTTGAGAGGGAAATACATGAAGATCCTCTTGAGGCATGCATCATGCTAGGATGCACCGAAGATGAAGAAATTCCTGCACTTTTTGAAGAAGTGATGTACCTTCAAGCCGGAGGCTCTTACACCAAATTCCGTCCTAAGTTTGAAGAACTTGGTGCAAGGAAGTCTAGCCAAAAATCTTCATGTGAAGTTGCTCCAAGGCCTACTCTAAAACCTCTTCCGGGTCATCTCAAGTATGCATTTCTTGGAGATGATTCTACATATCCGGTGGTAATTTCTTCTACACTCACCTCTTTGCAAGAAGAAAAATTATTGAGAATTCTAAGGGCTCACAAGTCCTCTATTGCTTGGTCCTTGGCGGATATTAAGGGTATTAGCCCTTCTCTTTGCATGCACCGGATTCTCATGGAGGAGAATCACAAACCTACAATTGAACATCAAAGGAGATTGAATCCCAACATGAAGGAGGTAGTCAAGGAGGAAGTTCTCAAACTCCTTGATTATGGCATTATTTATCCCATTTCGGATAGCAATTTCGTTAGCCCCGTTCAAGTGGTGCCCAAGAAAGGAGGAATTACCGTTGTGGCTAATAGTAAGAATGAATTAATTCCTACTAGGATGGTCACCGGTTGGAGGATGTGTATTGATTACCGGAAATTGAACACCGGCACTATGAAGGATCATTTTCCTCTCCCATTCATGGACGAAATGCTTGAACGTGTTGCGGGTCATGAATTTTATTGTTTCTTGGATGGATTTTCCGGCTATTTTCAAATAGCTATCTCACCCGAAGATCAAGAGAAGACCACATTCACTTGTCCTTTCGGCACTTTCGCTTATAGAAGAATGCCGTTTGGTCTTTGCAATGCTCCGGGGACCTTTCAAAGATGTGTCATGGCCATTTTTTCCGACATGGTAGGAGGTTTTATGGAAGTCTTCATGGACGACTTTTCTGTTTTTGGAGACTCTTTTGATACTTGTCTTCTTCATCTTGAGAAGGTTTTGATAAGATGCAAGGAAACACACTTGGCTCTCAATTGGGAGAAGTGTCATTTTATGGTGACCGAAGGCATAGTCTTGGGACACAAAATTTCCTCCCAAGGCATTCAAGTTGATCAAGCCAAAGTGGAAGTTATTGAGAAGTTACCTCCACCTCATTCGGTGAAAGCCATCCGGAGCTTCTTGGGACATGCCGGTTTCTACCGGCGATTTATCAAGGATTTTTCAAAAATTGCAAAGCCACTTTGTGATTTACTTGCCAAAGATGCTCACTTTGATTTCACTCCACAATGTCTCCAAGCTTTCAACACTCTCAAGAAGGCTCTCACTACGGCCCCAATCATTATCTCACCGGATTGGTCACTACCTTTTGAACTCATGTGTGATGCTAGTGATCATGCAATTGGGGTTGTTCTTGGGCAAAGGAAGGAGAAGAAGCTCCATGCCATCTATTACGCTTCTAGACTACTCCATGATGCGGAGTTAAATTATGCCACTACCGAAAAAGAGTTCTTAGCCGTTATTTATGCTTTTGATAAATTTCGGTCATACCTCATTGGACAAAAGGTGATTGTCTATACCGATCATTCCGCTATCCGGTATCTCATGAGCAAGAAGGATGCAAAACCAAGATTAATTCGTTGGGTATTATTACTACAAGAATTTGATCTTGAAATTCGGGATAAAAAGGGGAGCGAAAATCTTGTTGCGGATCACCTTTCCCGTCTCGAAGCTAACACCACATCCCACAAGGAATTTATTCATGATGATTTTCCTTATGAACAAATCATGGTGGTTAGTGGAGTACCATTACCTTGGTTCTCGGATTTTGTGAACTATCTTGCCAAGGAAATTCTTCCTCAAGAATTCACATTTCATCAAAGAAAGAAATTCTTGAATGATGTCAAACATTATTATTGGGATGAACCTTACCTCTTCAAGCATTGTGCGGATGGTATCATACGAAGGTGTGTGCCCAATGAGGAAATGCTACCCATCCTTGAGCATTGTCATAATCTCCCTTGTGGAGGTCATCATGGTCCCGATCGGACCGCCGCCAAGGTACTTCAATGTGGATTTTTCTGGCCTACTTTATTCAAGGATGCTAGGAGCTATGTTCAAGCTTGTGATCGTTGTCAACGAACCGGTAATTTGAGCCGGAGGAATGAAATGCCACAAAATATGATGCTTGTGGTCGAAATCTTTGATGTTTGGGGGATTGATTTTATGGGACCTTTTCCCAAATCCCATGGCAAGGAGTATATACTTGTAGCGGTTGACTACGTCTCCAAGTGGGTGGAAGCAATAGCCTTGCCGGATAATACCGCCAAGTCGGTGGTAGATTTTGTGAAGAAGAATATATTTTCAAGGTTTGGTGTCCCGAGAACCATTATTAGTGATAACGGTACGCATTTCAAGAATGCTCACTTCACCGGTCTTCTAAAAAAGTATGGGTGCCTTTTCAAAAGTGGAGCTACTTACCATCCTCAAACAAATGGTCAAGTAGAGGTCTCTAACAGGGAAATCAAATCTATCCTTGAGAAGACGGTCAACTCTTCTCGGAAGGATTGGTCTTTGAAGCTTGATGACGCCTTATGGGCATATCGAACGGCATTCAAAACGCCTCTTGGTATGTCTCCTTATAGGCTTGTTTTTGGGAAGCCTTGTCACCTTCCGGTGGAGCTAGAGTACAAATCTCGTTGGGCAATTTCTCAACTCAACTATGATCCAACACTTGCAAAGGAAAGAAGGCTATTACATCTTGACGAGCTAGATGAACTACGGAGGGAGGCTTATGAGAATTCCCGCATTTACAAGGAGAAAGCCAAGGCATGGCATGACAAGAACATTTGTCGAAGGGAATTCCAAGTTGGGCAGAAGGTGCTCCTTTTCAACTCAAGACTCCGGTTGTTTCCCGGAAAATTGAAGTCCCGGTGGTCGGGACCTTTCACCATCACCGAAGTCCGACCATATGGAACTATGATGATCAAACAAGGTGACAATGAACCTTTTGTTGTCAATGGTCACCGCTTGAAGCACTACATGGAACACCACAACACCTCTGCCACCATCTCTTGCCCCTTGAAGGATTGATCACGAAGACGTCCGGCCAATGACGTTAAAGAAGGCGCTTGTTGGGAGGCAACCCAATTTCATATCCTTTTTATTTACATGTTTGTATTTCATTATGCTTTTATACTCTTATTGCTTGTGGACGATGCAATTCAAGTGTAGGGGGAGAAGCAAAGCAAAGAAATGTGAAGTTTCAAGGCTAATTTTGAACAAAGTGGGCGGAATTAGCAAAGGCATCGAAACCCGCCCGGCTTTCGCGAAAGCCGCCCGGCATTTGGTCGCCGTAGGTTAATTCCATTTATTCAGATCAAAAACCGCCCGGTTTTCCCGAAATCCGCCCGACTTTCAGGTCTGCTTCCCAGGTATTTTTCTCGCACCCGAAACCCGCCCGGTTTTCGGGATTGTCGCCCGGCTTTTGGGCGCCGAAGGTAATTCCAGATTATTTAAATCGAAAGTCACCCGACTTTCGTGTAAGCCGCCCGGCTTACGGGTTCTGGGAACAATCTGTTTAACCGAAAGCCGCCCGGCTTTAGCATATGTCGCCCGGCTTTCGGGGACGAGTGTTTTATTACCTGTTCTGTTTAAACACAAACACACGCACACAACGCCCAAAAGACGCCCGGCGAACGAGAGAGCTCGAACGACAACCCCCATTCTTCACGTTTCTTCTCCTCTTTCAAGCTCAAAACAGGTATTTCTCCATCTCCTTCACTTCTTAAACTCAATTTCATAGCTTTTTCTTCATTTAATCGATAGAATTGGTTGTTCTTCCCAAATTTTGAATTTTAGGGTTTATGCAAATTGATAGCTTTTAGGCCTAATTCATTGCATGATATCTTGTTCTTGTTGCCTATATTGCTTGTATGAACCATTTCAACCTCTTTTCAAGTAGTTATTTCCAACAATTTTGAAATTTTTGCTATTTGGTCAAAATTGGGGGTTTAGGGTTCGAAATTCTTGTTCAAATTTGGGGATTTTCAATTGAATTCTTGTGATTAGTAGTTGTTGAGTAAAGTTGTGATTATATTGTCCTTTGTCATGATGAATTGTGATTAAAGTCAATTTTTAGGGGAAACTTTGTCAAATTTTTAAGAAAATTGACTAGAATTGTTTGAGTTTGTAGGTTCAAATGGCTCCAAAGGGGAAGTCCGTTAGCACCGAGGCTGGCCCGAGCAATCCCAAGCGGGCAAGGAACAACAAGGCACCCGCGGCCTCCTCCACCATCTTGCCTTCTAGCCGGTTTGTCAACACCAAGTGCTATGAACGGTACTTGGAATCTAGGGACAACGATTTCGTTGTTGAGAAGACGGTGTCACAACCTATTGACCACGAGTACCGGCTCACCGAGGCCTTCGCTAATATCGATTGGGAGCCGGTGCTACATCTTGAAGGCACCTTCTACCCGGAGCTCGTCAAGGAATTTTTCGCAAATATCGAAGGAAATAGCCCCCGAAAGATGATTGAGAGCCGGGTCAAAGGGGTAAAACTCACTATCACAAATGACCTATTGAGATCTCAGTTTCGCATCGCCAACCACGGCATCCCTTTCGCCCCTTCCCAAGCCGGAGCAATGAATAGCGACGTTGGCTACAACCCCTTGGATGCGATGCAATATTTCGGCTTGCAAGGACACGAGCTTATGACCAAGAACCTTGGTCAACCACACATCCGGGCCCGGCTTTTGATGTACCTCTACTCATTCAACGTCATGCCGAGAGCAAGTGGCTACAACAAAATTCGAAACGCCGACCTCTACTTCGCGTATAGGATGCTTGCCGGGCTTGGACGTTGTGAGGGGATTCCTCTATCAAGCATCATCATCAAACAATTGTGGAGCGCGGCTTTGAGCAACAACCAAGATAAGGCCTTCATTTTCCCTATTCTACTTTCTAACATTTTTGAGCATTTTGGTGTTAGCTTTAGAGGGGAAGAAGAACGGGAGACACATGCCGTGCTTGATGATAGTGTCATGATACACTTTCGCTATTTCCAACCGCCGCACGGAGGACCATGGAGGTGCGTGGAGAGATTCCATAGAATCGTGCCCGAAGAAAATGAAGAAGAGATGATGGAAGGAGGAGAAGCCCAAGAGGGAGAGCCCGAGGAGCACCATGAGGAGGCGGCTCACGTACCTCAAGCCGGAACTCATTACGACATGGACTATTTGACCGAACAATTTGGTCAAATTCATACGGAGCTTGCGGTTCATCGACGGGATTTGCGGGACCAACGGCGGGCTATTGAAGGCATGGGGAGTCATCTTTGGAACATGAACTACTACTGCCAAGAGTTAGGGCGGCACTTCAGCATTCCACCACCGCCACCTTATGACCCGCACTTTTATTTCCCTCCCCAAGGAGATGGAAATGAAGGGGATGAGTAGGTTATGAAAAGGGAAGTGTACTAAAAATACTAAACTTGAACCACCTTTTCTTTGTTTTTCTTTAAACTCCTTGTGCTACTTTTGTGCCTATTATGTGTTGTTTGATTGCTTATTTTCTTGCTTTGCATTTAATTACTCTTGTGCTTCACATTGGGACAATGTGGAATAAGTGTGGGGGGGTGACTTTATACTTGAAAATTGTGCAAGTTTTTTTTGGAAAAAAATTGTTCATTTTTGGTCCATATTTTTTGAAAAATATTTTAGCAAAACCCTTGTCCTTCAAACCCTTTTCTTCAAAAGAAACTTTTCTTAACGTTTTGCCTTAATATTTTCATAGAAAGTTTCGAAATTTGCTTGAGGACAAGCAAAGCTCAAGTGTGGGGGTATTTGATAAGCGTTTTATTAACGTGTTTTACACAATCATTTATAAACGCTTTTATACTTAAAAGAATTAAATCTTCACACATATGCCTCGTTTTGCTAGAAGTTCTTTAAATCAACAAATGGATCAAATGCAAGGATGGTAGAATACACACGAAGAAACCGACGGAAAAAGGTCAACCAAACGCATCCCGAGGAACAAATAAAGACCACAAAAACGCCCAAGACAGACGAAAGCCGCCCGGTTTATGCCAAAGGCGGCCGGCCTTTGGTCCCCAAGCTTATTTTCGCATCCAAAGCTGGAAAATCTGATCCGGAGCAAGAAAGGACGAAAGCCGCCCGGCTTTCGTGAATACCGCCCGACTTTTGGTCGGCGAAGGAATTGTTCAGGATTTAATTACAAAAGCCGCCCGGCTTTTGTAAATGGCGGCCGGTTTTCGGGCCCTGGAGCAAAGGCAGACTATTTTAAACGCGCAAAAGCCGCCCGGCTTTTGCGAATGTCGCCCGGGTTTCGTCTGGCACTGATTAAAACAGGCAACGGTCATCACAATCATTCGAGAGAAGCTCCAAACCCCATTAAGGAGCTTGCTTCCTTGTCCAAAAATGGCCGTTGAAGACCCAATATTTAAGCATATGGAAGCCCTCTCAAGTGATTATTCCATATTCCATACACTTTACTTCCATTTTAGCACTCCAAGATCAACGCCTTGGTCTTGGGAGAAGTTCTACACTTGGGGATCCCATTATCCACCATAGCTTTGGAGTTGTGGTATTATCTTCTTATGTATTTCATTGTATTTCATCAATTCAATACTTGTAATTTCATTATGAGTTGCTCTAGCTAATTTTCCATAGCCAAGGTTAGGGATGAAACTTTACGCACTCTAGGTGTTTGATGTATGTTCTCAACCAAATTATTATGATCTTTCCTTTATATTTTAATGTGTATGACTACGGTGTACAACGTATGATTATATCGTTGGGTTTATTTGAGCAATTAACGTTGAGTTATAAACCGTGCACTTAAAGGCCAGACATATTCTAATTGTGGATAGAAATATACCTCAATTGAATATGGTGGTTGTAATAATGTCCTAATCTTCAATGGGGTTAATTTTAGATGAATGTGAACCGTGACGGGATTCACACGTAGAATTAATCACAATCTCGCTGCCGTAACAGGAGTTAGAATACTTTAGCGACATTCCACTCATAAGAATTGGTGAAAGAATATACATTAATCGCTAGGAGTCGTTTAGGAGTAATCCCGAACCCTTGGTTGCTTTTATTATCACTTGAAAAAACCAAAAATCTTTACTCTTTTACCAAGTCTTTTACAAATTATATTCTCAATTTTTGAATCATATAAACAACGTTTCCTCGTGTTCGACTCGGTATTTTTACCGGATTTTATTACTACATCGGCACTTGTACACTTGCAAGTTTAAGCCGATCAGTTATATATGGAGATATGGAGAATTGGAGAATTGGTATAAGATACCGAATTTGTTGAATTTGGTAACTTGGGCGGCCACAAGCCCAACATGTTTATGAGGAAAGTGTCAATTGAGTACATCAACTTGTATAAGATGGAGTAAAGAGTGCACTATATTGTATTTGATCTTTTTAAGTACACAAATTTGGGGTTTTAATGTTAATTGAGTACACTTGTTAGATTAACACGTTAATACACCTGAGTTGGCTAACGGAATGTTGAGTAAGAAGGGTTAATGGACCAAGGTTATGATGCCGACCTTCACAAGGTTTACCAAAAAGGAAAAATGGACATTTGGAGGTGGACCTGCGAGGGGCGTCGGCCAGTAGGGGTGCATCGACTAAGGAGACGTCGACCTCCAGGGGATTGACGTCGACCAAGGGGAAGTTGATTAAGTGATTGGGGGGCTGGCGTCGACCTTCAAGAAATCGACCTATTAGGATTTTTTTACTTGGATTGTAATCTGTCTCATATCAGACCAGATCAGATTTGGATAGTTATAAAAATACAAAGAAATCAGATTAGACCAGTTCAGACCAGACCAGCAAATTACAGTCCAAGTAAAAACATCCTTAGCATTTTGTAAGCCAATTCAGCCGTATTAACATATTAATCTAACAGATGTACTCAATTAACACTAAAAAACCTGAATGTATGTACTTAAAAAGATCAAATTCAATATAGTCTGCTCTTTACTCGACCTCATACGTGTTGATCCTCCATCTCATTTGATTATTATTACTCCGTGGACCGTAGTTATTTATATTACTAAACGATGCCGTTACACTAAAAAAACTTACGGGACAATTACATTAGACGGAGTCTCATTCACTCCCTTCATCTGCAGCAGGGGCGCAAAACCAGGTCTGCGAACCAAGGAAGAAGACGATGATTTGCAGGGCGCTAATAATACCTAAGCTATTCCGGAGAACGGGGGGCGCCGGCACCGGATCTCCCCCGCCTGGTTCTGCCACAGTGTAGTCCCCGCCATTGTCTGTTTTTCTCTAGCTAGAATCCTCGCGTGAGTACTAACATATGACACAGAAAAGCAACCGTTGACTGTGATGCAATCAAGTGAACCCATACCTTGTGCCTCCGCTCAGCGCTACTCATCGCTGCTCACTATATGCATCCGGACCAAAGATTTCAAGCTTGGAAGCCTAATTCACTCCAGGTTAATCAAGACTGCTCTTACCTTCAGCACCTTCCTCTCCAACCGCCTGATAGACATGTACTCCAAATGCGGCTTCATAGAATCTTCCCAGAAGGTCTTCGATGAACTCCCTAGCAAGAACCCCCACTCCTGGAACACAATGATCTCAGCGTGCTCTCAAACGGGTCGTATTGAGAATGCCCTCCAATTGCTCGATGAAATGCCTGATCCGAATCTAGTAACCTATAACTCAGTCATTTCGGGCTTAGTTCGTCATGGGCATTTCCAAAAAACGATCTTTTTGTTTCAGCTGATTCAGGCGCGGTGTAAAAATGAAGTCTTGATGGATGGGTTCACGGCTGTTAGTTTAGCGAACATGTGTGGGTGTTTGGGTGCATTGAAGCAGTTGTGTCAGCTACACGGAGCTGCTATTGTGTTTGGTTTGGAATCCAATATTGTTCTGTGCAATGCCATGATTGGTGCTTATGGGAAGTGTCATCTTCCGGAGACCTCACATTCCATTTTCAGTCAAATGTATGATAAGGATGTTGTGTCCTGGACTTCAATGCTAGTTACTTATGTGCAAACTTCTAGAATGGAGGAAGCTTGTCAGATCTTCAATGAAATGCCGGTGAGAAATGAAGTATCTTGGTCTGCACTAATTGGGGGTTTCGCAAGAAATGGGGAGGGCCAGAAAGCTTTGTCTCTTTTCAGAGAAATGCAAGAGGAAGGCTCCATCCCTCCTAATGCTTTTACTTGTGTTTCTCTTCTTAGTGCCTGTGCCAATATTGCTGTATTAGATCAAGGTAAACAGGTGCATGGTCAAATCATCAGAAACTGGCAATTAAACAATGTCTACACTCTTAATGCTCTCATGGACATGTATTGCAAATGTGGCGACATGACATCAGCATTAACATTGTTTGAGATGTCCCCGGGAAAAGATAAAGTGACCTGGAACTCACTGATATGTGGCCTCGCTCAAAACGGGCATGGCGAGAAGTCACTGTCAATATTCAAGAGAATGATTGCAGGTAATGTGAAACCGAACAGTGTCACTTTTCTAGGAGCACTATCTGCGTGTAGCCATTGTGGGCTACAGTCAGAAGGGTTTGAAATTCTCAACTCGATGGAAAGCGAGTATGGTGTAATTCCCAGTTTAGATCATTACTCAATTATGATCGATTTGCTCGGTCGCAAGAACAGACTAATGGAAGCAACAGAGCTAATTGAGAGAGGAGCAAACCACCACGTTGGAATGTGGGGGGCGCTTCTGGGCGCTTGCCGCGTCCATGGAAACTTGGAACTTTGTAAGAGGGCAGCAGAAGCTCTATTCCAACTTGAACCTGAGAACACTGCTCGATATGTTATGCTGTCCAACATATATGCTGCTGCTGGAATGTGGGATAATGCAGGCAAAATAAGGATGCACATTGACGATGGAAGGCTGCACAAAGACGCTGCCTATAGCTGGATTGAGATAAACAATGTCAGGCATAAGTTTGTTGCTAAGGACCATTCCTTTTCTAGAGCTGATGAAATTCAAGAATTGCTACATAAGCTTGCGGGTCATTTGAAGGATGTTGGGCATATACCCAATTCCATAGCCCCTTCTTGACTCTTTAGATCAAAGAATATGAACTTTTACCATTCATTTTTATATTTTATTATTTACGGACTTACAGTAGGAATTATGACTATTTTGTACATAAGGTATATTTGTGTATATTGGAATATTACTAAATCGGGCCATCAAATTGGGTGTAGGTAGCGCTCCATATTATTTAGGAATTAAAAAAGAAACATAAATGTTAAATTAAACATCAATGTTAGTACATTTATATTAATTATTAAAGTTCTAAAGTTAATCTTCTAATACTTCGGCAGTTTTCATTATATGATCTGGTACTGTTTTTAGAATTTTAAGAAGACAAATTAAAAATGACAATGAAGAGACGAAAAGATATTATACATTTTTTATGTGCTCACACTTCTACTATAATATTTGTTCTTTGTTAAATGTCAGCATTCTTGTACTGAGATATGGTACCCACTTATTTTGATAGCATAAAACTTGTCAAATCAAGGTGCAACAAATAATAGGAACTAATAAATGAAAAACTTAAAAGAACAACACATAGCAGCAAATACTAAGAAACATAGGGACTTTCATTTCGACTTTTAAATTGAATATGTAATTTTTTTATTGTGTAATAATCAAAAGAGGTAATGTTAGAGTATTATTTTTGACGAAATTGCCTTAAATAACAGTAGATGATCGTTTTTCATTTCAAAAAATAGTTGAGGACCATTTTAGCTCATTTTTTTTGCTTATTTTATTAATAATATTTATTTTGAATATTATTTTTCATAATTCAGCTGATTCAATCAATTTAGTCATTTCATCCATAATTTCATCAATTTTTTTCAATTCAATTAATTTTATTGTTACCAAACACTCACAACAGGCAAATTATACCATGGGATCAGTGCATCATGCTCATGGTGTACCGATCCCAAAACGGCACCATTTTATTAAAAACGGCATCCCAAAACCGTCCCGTTTTATTAACTCCTGTAGCACGACCGCCCATTATTATTGCTTTGCACTTCACCTGGAAAATTTTCATACGGGACTTGGAGATTATTGCTCCACTTTGAGTTGATCTTCTCCATTTTTTAAAAAATGAATCATTTAGCACTCTCCCTTGAAGCAAACACGTGTACTCCATCTCATCATCTAGCACTCTCCCTTGAAGCTAGTAATATATTTTTATATTCTCACATAAATTTTATCGCTTTTATGTGTTTCTAGAGATATTTTAAGATTTTGGGTTTGTTTATCTTGATTCATGGAATTAAATTTGATAATATATGGAGTTAATATTTATGTGCACAAGTTACATCTAACTTACATGTGATATACATTTGCCATAATGCAAGTTACACCACACACAAAAACGAGTTACACAACAAAATAAACACATTTTTTTACTCCACAAAATAAAAACATGTTATTCAAACAAAAATGAATTTTATTAAAAATCACTTTTAATGGCCATGATAATAAAAACAAAACATATACACTAATATATTTTTATATTCATACACTTTTTTGTATGCGTATAATTTTTCTATAATAGTTTCTCTCTTTTATATGTTTTTAGATGTTTTTAAGAAATTGAGTTTGTTTACTATGATCCTTGGAGTTACATTTGATAATATACGAAGTTACATCTTCTTATGCGCGAGTTACATCTTGTTATGCTTGAGTTACATCTAATTATGCATGAGTTAAATCTATTTACTTATGATTTTTTTACCTATTTTTATATTTAACTAATTAAATTACAATTGAATTAATTTGTTTTCTATTAATTTAATACAAAATTTTATTAATCCACATAAAGTAAGTATATTGTATTTCATAATCACAAAATAAACTCCTTTTATTATTGAAACAAACAAACTTTTTTAAATAGATTCTTTTTTTTTTCTCAAAAAAAAAGTTTTTTGGGAAAATGATTTATTTATAACATTTTATGGTCTTAATATTAAAAACAAAATATATTCACTATTTAGGTAAAGTAAATAACAAATTAGACTCCTTTTTTATTGTTTACATTGAAATCATTGTTTTAGACAAGTTACATTTCGACTTGCCTGCAGTAACTTTTCTTATTAACGTGAGTTACATTTCTTTACACGCGAGTTACATCACTCATGCTACTGGGATAAAAAGAAAAATAAACAGTTACTGTACACGCGTGTATTGTTCACGTTTTTTTTTTTTTTGAAAAAAGACTAAACCTACGTCGTTTTTGGGTCAGGAGCATTGTGCTCACAACAGAGTAATACTTGGTGTATCAACTTTGCATAGTAATACGGAGTATTTGGTATATTAACTCTAAAACACGTAGTAATATTTCCAAATTTTTAGCATATTAAGATGGTCAAATACAATTTGGTCAAAATTGTTTCGTCTGTCCTTAAATAAGTTAAAACGAATATGAAAATGTTATTTTCTAGCGCTTTAAATTCAATTTACTTTTTTCGACTATAATTACGTTCACATATACGTAGTATTGATTATCTCAGCTTAGCAAACAATCAGTAAATGGGGGCTTTTACTCTCAACATCTTGCCAGATTTACTATAATTCAGTGTCAACTTTGATTTATCAGCCAATATGAATAATTTGTTCTCAAAAACTATAATAATTTTTCAGTAAGCTAGGATATACTCCCTCCGTATCAAATTACTTGACCCACTTTCCTTTTTTAGTGTATCAATTTAATTGACCCATTTCCCTTTTTGGAAAGAATCTCACTCAAAAAGCTGCTACAGTACCGCTACAGTGTCGCTACAGTACCAAAAACCTCTTACTTTTAATAAAGTCTACAGTAATTGTCTTAAACTGCGTGAAAAGCAAACGGGTCAATTAATTTGATACGGAGGGAGTATACATAGGCAAAATCGGTTAGATTATTTGTTTTGTTCTGTTCGGAAGCACGTAATCTGTTACTTGATACAATTAGGTGAATCGTTTGTATAAATTCTACTTCAATTCCATAACCCAAAAGGCCATATTAGAATAACACTTCTCCCTAAATACACACAATCAATAAAAGAAAGTCACCTCTTTTTGTGCACAAGCCAATGTTTGTGTCCATACACAACAACAGTCAGGGGCCAAATTATGGACTTTTGAGATGGATTTATCATCACATACAATATACAAATATACAATAGTTGTACCGTCCACATATAATAATTGTGCTACTCACAGACTAATTGTCCGTATGATCAATTATAGTTGTCTATGTTTAGATAGATTTTATCACACAAACAATATTTATGTATGAATAAAATATGTAATTGTCCGGGAGATGGATGATACAATTGTATATACATCTAAAAAACAAAAAAAAAACAAAAAAAAAACTTGAACTGTAAATCTTACTCCGTACTATATACAAAGAGAAGTGGAAAATCAATCCACTTTCCCGCCTAAAGATACGGGGCAAAACATGGGTCAGGTTGGCCGGAGGGTTCTCCTGCTTCAATTATTGTATTGGTCAACGTTATTAAATGTTTTTAATAGCTGTCATACACACATTCGTAGCGCACATATGGGGTGGGAATCGAGATGATATATGCGTGTTATTTACGATTGAAATTTGCTTTATTAAAAAGATACACTCCAACTCTCTCTCGAATGTTTTTCTTGAACTGGGTGAGTGTATTACAACTGTCTCTCGGTTGGATGGAGATCAAATGTAGGCCTGGGACCGGTTCGGTTCCTAGGCCAAATATGTGGAACCGTTTGAAATTATGAAATTTTACTAACGGTTCGGTTCTTATAAATTATTTTATAGAACCGATAAGGAACCGAACCGTTCTTAACGGTTCGGTTCTTGTCATTTAACGGTTCCTAGTATTCGAAAAAATTCTTACAAATCATGACTAAATTTTTGCCAAAAAGACATTCTACGTTTGAAATTACGATACAAATATGCTTAAACAGTTAAAGAGAATAATAATTTTAAATACTTGGACCCTCAAAGTTCCGACCCACTGGAGTTTGGACCTAATGAGAGGCCTAAGAAGCCTAAGAGAACCGGTTGAAGTGAATAATAGTTTTAAATAGTTGAATAACTAAACAAAATAAGGGAAAAGGTGCAAATAGACCCATGTACTAACCAAAAAAGGTCAAATAAGCCCTTATTTTGGAGGCTCTGTCCGGACTTCGTCATTTCGGGTGGTTCCCGGTGGAATTTTTTGATGAAATTTTTTGAGCATCTTATTTATCAAGTCTAGTTTACTCATACCAAATTTCAGCTAAAACTTCAATCGAGAAGACATTCAAATGAATTCTTGAAGATAATTGGCTAAACCCTAAACCCTAAACCCTAAAATAATGAATGTAATATAAAAATAAGTAAGTAAATATACATTAAAATATATATGCTCATAAGAAATATATATAATTTTAATTATTATATATAACGGTTCCTTAACGGTTCCTAGTACATATTTTTTTCAGGAACCGAGAACCGAACCATTAATAAAAAATTGGAACCGAACCGTTAAAAAATAACTAATAAATGTTGGAACCGAACCGAACCGGGTCATAACGGTTCGGTCCGGTTCGGTTCTCCGGTTCTTGGTTCCAAAGTCCCAGCCCTAATCAAATGTAGTTGTACAATAAATAATGAGCTCTACTTGAATACCAACGACGCCTTCGACCTCCGCAACAGGCAGCCGATAACTTCTTTCACTACTAAGATTAACAAACAATAAAAAAAATTGATGCTTAATTAGTTAATTTTGATCCGTGCATCGCATGGTTAAGAATCTAGTAGAGAACAAAATAAAGAAGGAAAGAGGATGACTCAGTTTTTTATTGGGTATCCAAATTCCAAATGGTAAGAGATCGAGGGAAAAGAGAAAGGACATGGGAGAATGCATAGTATTTGTTCTCGGTGAGAAAGGTGCCTTCAAAAGTTATTTTCCATCAGCAAAGCACCCACATTATGTTCAAAAAACATCTGCTCATTCTAAATTTGAGAGGATTCCTACTGATAGCAAAAATCCCGAGACGTTTACAAAGCAACTCTTTTTTGTTTTCTTGGGTGCAAGCATCTCTAAAAAAACACGTAGTTTGCATCCATACATTCAAAACTATTACATTTGTATTTACATTTTCCCACAGTTTACAACTGCTCATCCCAAGAGAGGTGAAGCACAGTGGTAGCGAATGTGAGAAAGAGA